CACCTCTATTGTAGTACCTGTGAGAAGTTTGTATGCAGGCTGTATCAGCCAAAATCAGATATTACAACCATTAATAAATTGAGGTACAAAATGCTTATATACTAATTTCAGTCCCAAAGATTAGTCCATTAGTGTTGAAACTGAAAATACTTGGCTTTGCATCATCACTATATAGGGTTTTAATTTGGTTCACAACAAATCTATATTCAGTTAAAGTTTAAATCTGAATCCTTCATGGTCATTACCATGTTAAGAAATTTTTAAACAAAGGACCTAGTTTTGCCCTTACTAAGCCATATCTACAACAGTGGTTTACATGTTTTTAGGCATGCCCTTAATATCAGAACATATCAAATCTTTTTTTCTCAAGGGTGACCAACAGAACTAAATTTTAGAGCCTCTGTTAACTAACCATTCATAGTATATTTACTTCAACTGACTGCAAATGTTGTGGCACAACCTTCAAGACAATTCATTTAAAAGGTCAGTTGTACACTTTTAATTTCCAACAATATCTTTCCAGGATTGCTGGCATTATGCAACTTCAGGACAGTTAAGTTTTCACTCGCTTGCCCAAGACAATTTTTACTGCCCATTCAGGAACAACGAGAGCCAGCACGGGGCAAACATCCTTGCCGGGCTCCGTCTCTCTCTCTTTTTTAACATTTTCAAGAATTTATTAAGAAGAAGATCCTAAATTAGTACAGCAACGAGCTCATATCCAGACAAAATCATAGCAGCAGCCATTTTTACCTCACATTATAAGTGTAAAAATGTTTAAAAAGTAACAACAAATATCTATTAAATATGTAAAGTAACAAATACATATTAATTATTGCTCAAATAATTATTTCAATCGTTCTTAATGTATCAAGTGTCGATATGCAAAGAAAAGCCAAAAACTATGGTTTTTATCATTAAATGAAGATATAGCCTAAAGATGCTTTGCTGGCTTTACGGCATAACCAGGGTTCATTTGCCCGGGCCCCTAAGCAGTTGCCCCCTGTGCCTCCCCCGTTGGAGGGTCTGTGCCCATTTGTACAAGCTTACAGTAAAATAACAGTTTTTCATAAAAACAGTGACAACCACATTTGTTTTGATTTATGAAACTTTCTTATATTAAAAGAAAACTAAACCATGAACTAAAGAAACAAGTTAAATAAAGTTCAGATGTATCACAGCAAAATCATGTACAACAGACTGGTCAGAAACTACACATCTTATGATGATCTTACTTGAAGATGACAGAAACATTCCTGCTTGTGCATGCCAAGGCAATACCTTTTAAAAGATAAAGATTAGTAAATCAGTGATCCATACAGAGGATAATTTGACAATCTGCAGTGTAGCCAAAGAAAAGGTGTGTGGCAAGTAATAAATTACAAAATTCTTTCTTTTTTTTCACATTATGAGTAATATTATGAATAATATTAACATAATAATTTGGGTACATCAGTTTAGGCCTGTCATTAAATAGTCTAAAAACTAGGTAATCTAAAGACTTGTTAAATAAAATAAGTATGAAAATGGCTACAGAACATTAAGATCAAGAGGAATGGTAGTTCTGACAGCCAAGTTATATAAAATAGTTGGCTGAGAACTACCAGTGAATCTATACAGTACAGACTAATTTGATATTTCTGGGGTATTGGTGCACTTAAACTACATCAGCTAGAAGCGCCATTCTACTTATAATATGCAGCCTGAAACAAATTGAAGTAAGATGTGAAAAAAATTCAGTATTTGTTGTAATGAATTTGTTATTATATATTATTTTAACATCAGCATTTGTTTAGATTAAATTTATATTTAGAAACATACATAGCTTATACTGTTAAATATGTATTGCAAAACTCCCACATATTCTCCAAAGTTGTAGAAGATTCTCGAGAGTAAGAATCAACAATATATGTATATACATAAATGCTTAAGTGTAGTTCAGTATTGTTAGGTATAATTGAAATTGCCTCCACACAGCTATAAATATACCCAATGCGATGTGCCAAAAGAGAGTATCTATTACTAGTTTGCTATAATCAGTGTGCTATAAAACTTTGGAAGCTATAACTGTGATTGTTATAATGCTTACCAATTGGAAAACTTCAGATATTTGACTAGGAACCTTTACAAAGTTTGAACGTTACAAATTATTTAACTTCAGTGGATTCTCATCGGACTTTAGTATTTTTACGAAAAAATTACATAACGTCACGGTGGAAAACCCAGTGTGTGTGGCCGATAAATAATGAAGGACAAAGCTAGCTAGTTTCCCGTTAAGTGAATCTTACCTACATCAATTTGTAATCAACTCGCTCATCATGAACCCTTGATAAGATATTGAAGAAGTTCCAGATTAAAAGGAAGACTTTATATTGCTTGTAAGTTTGTGAAACTTTTGTTTATAAATCATTGTTTGTGATAACTATTTGTCATAACTGTTATTGTAAATTGTATTGTTGTCTGTATATTAAAACGTATTT